AACTATATATATTTTTTAATATATAACTTTTTTTTTCAGAACAGATCCTGACAGTCTAGCTAATTACAACAATTTTCTTTTAAAAACTAACTTGTCTTTATTTGACTTTACAAATTCTAGACTATTTTATGAACTAGTTTTTACAATAACACTATTAAAAGTTCAGATTATCTCTTTATTCAGATTTTCTAAGTAAACTTTTATCTTTTTGGTTCTTGTAATTTATATAATTACAAAACTTATTATAGGTTTATATCACTTAGTACTAGTTTGTATTTCTTTATACAAGATTGTACAAATGCCATGTGATCTTTCAGTTATGCTAGTATGATATAAGTAACAGGTATCTGATCCTAACCAATTTTAGAAAATAATTAATAATAATACAGAAAGAATTATAAATTTTTTAGATTTGTTACTTGAAGATTGATGACCTGTCCACTTCACAAGGCTATCACATTTTATAAATATGTATTCTTATAAATATGTGCCTAACAAAAGTATTAATAAAATCAAAAAACCAAAAAAGTTATCTTAATATCAAAAAAAAATAAAAATAATATAAATTATTAAATTTGAAAATATAATTTTTTTATTAAATTTAATTAGATATATATTTGATAATAACTGTTAAAAAACGTAACAATTATTATTTGTTTAAAATGTAACAAAGAACTCTATATTATTCTATAAAAAGTGATATGCAAGTTTTGTTTGTCTAAGCATATTATGTAAAAATTGGTCAATCAAATAGTAACACATATCTATATATAATAAATATAATATCATTTAATCTTGCTCTAGATATACAATGTATCACAATCTAACTTGGTCATAAATAAAACTTTCTGCAACACAAAGATGTTCTTCAATGTTTTAGCACAAAAGGTTTGGTCACAGAAGGTTTGGTCACAGTTACTTTAATACTTACTTGATTCAAAGTGAAAGTTATTTTTTTACTTTATTTTCTTACAATTCTTAATTTGGCTTTAAATTGATTACATCATAATTTTTCATGTGATTTTGACTCTTAAATTAACTACCCAATCATACAGCTTAATTGCATATTTCATGCGTATACTCAACTTTTATCTTAACTCTTATGTTGTCGATTCCGGTTAGTGATTCGATAGGTGACTCATGTGATCACGGGACCCTTCGAACCCTACGAAACTAAACAAAGGGTGTCTTTACAACAAATACTATATGCATATACTCTTTTTTTTTCTTTTATTATTTATTTATTTATTTATTATTTTATTTTACTAATTCACTAATCGTCTAGACCGCCTAGAATTCTTTAACTGTTACACCCCGGACTACATATCTCGAATGCCAACTTTCGCCGCAGAACCGATTCTGACCGTGACACAATGCTATGCATTTACCTAGTTTTAAATTAAATTTTATAGTCTAAAAGTACCTTTTTTAATAACTTATATGTAGCAATTTTTTTACTTTGAATTCGCTGTCTATTAGCCAATCAGATTTTGTAAAGTCACGAAATGATCTACAAATATTAGCCAATCAGAATGAAAGCCCGTTATGCTAGTTGATTTTTCCTATCATGTGACTAAATTTGTTGATTGGCCAATCAAACAAAGAAATCAACACGAGCCAACGGAATATCAAAATTTTCCAAATCGATTAGTTGGAAAGTTGTTAAATAGTTGGATAAGTCCGTAACGTTATGGGTATTCGGGCAAAATTTCTTAAATTGAAATATCGATGTTCAATCAATTTTAATAATTAAACTTTGAACAAGAATGATAATAAATTGTTATATGATATTATGTGACAAGACTTGTGCTAAGGGTAGAGCACCTGCTCAAGAATATGACACAATGAATTATCAAAGTTTGATCAAAAGTGCCCAAATACTCATAACGGTACGGACTGACCCATTTCATCGGACAAATATTACCGTTTAGCACTGCATACAGTACCCGGGGTCTTATTCAAGAACTCCATTTTTTAAATTGAATAGTATCCGTGGGTACTATTCAAGAATAAAGCCAGATTGGTGGTGAATAATACCGGGTCTTAATCAAGGGGTTATTATTTTTAAGGTTATTTTATGCAGTGCTAAACGGTATTTTAAACATATTATTACCTTTAAAAGATAAATGACGTTAATAATTCGAGGTTATTTTTCAAATTGTTACTACTGTACATGTCATTTAGTTTATGAGCATAAAGGTTGTTATTACGGTTCACAGACTTGTATCAGTTTTAGAAGGTTATCAGGTTTAGGAGGTCTAATTATATTACTATATCAAAAACAGGCATGGTGGTTTGATTTTTTTATCAGTTTTAATAGGATCGTTTTGACAGGACGAACTGTATTATATTTATGCATATTTAAAATAACAATTAAGTTTCTAAGTAACTTTTCAATTATTCACAATTACTTAGATTCCATTTGCATTTTAGTTTGCAAATGTAAAAATAATTTATTTAAACTATTGTACTGATGTATTTTAAGAAATCTGGTGTGATTTTAAATCAAACAAATAACTTTGCATAGAGATAGTAATTGGACTCGTCAACTCAAATTTGTCATATAATTTTTAACACTCAAATCATACATAATACATTACACAATTACTTTTATAAATAATTTTAATTCTGTAGCTCGAACATGAGTTTAAAGTTTTCCGAAGACTAAATCGAAAATTAAAATCTTGCTTTAGATTAGATGATCGACAGCAGAAACGTCAATGTTACACGAATGTGATGTAATATCACATGTTTACCAACCAATCAAATTGCAAATAAAAAAACGAAAAAAATGAATCTAAATGTAAAATTCAAAAATGCCTTAAATATTACTGTAAATGAAAGTTTTTAAATTTATATATATTAAGTTCGAAGTTATACAAACCGTCTTTTTTTAAAAAAAAATTTCTCAGCTGACGGCTAAAATTAATCAATTGGAAGCAATATTTTCTAACGCTAACGCTAATATATAATTTAGAATTATAACGATAAGATCTATGCATGGCCAATCAAATCTCGCCTTTCCATGTGATAAGCTGCATCATCAGTATAAAAAGAAAATTCTGATATTTAAATCATTACTCATCACCAGTGCTATCGCTATGCATCGCTACTCTCTAATTAGAAATAAAAAATGAGGTCTTTAAAAATAAACGACAGTCGGGTAAGAAGATAGTTAAAGTCCTTCTAACCCAAAATTTTGCAAGGAATTTTTTTGTCAGGACGAAGAGGGTAGTTTTATTTAGTGTTACAAATCGTCAAAAAATTTTCAATCGATTAGTTGGTCATTATTTTTTTCAGTTGGTTACAACTAATCGAGCAACCAATTCATTAAGTAAATAAATGATTTTTCAATCAATTCTTTAGTCGATTAGTTGATTAATCGATTAGTTGAGTTCAGTCGATTAGTTGTCAACTAACCGACCAATCCGATTTAGCCTCGTTACACCTGATCCTGCTCGCTGATTGGTCGATCAGAAGGTTTTTAAAGCTCGATTTCAATATTTTGGACTTTCGAGACAACCAAGAAATAATAAGAATCTTTTTTTTTTAAAAAAAAAAAAGGTGATAAAAACTATAACAATAGTGAATAAATCCATAAAAGGTAGGGCTCCTTTTGATATTGTAGAAATGGTTTACGAATTATAGCTGTCTTTCGTTTTTGATTTTTTTTTCAATCTTTTCTGGTTTTGAACTTTCATGAAGATTTCGTCTTCCCTTATACCCTATTTTAAGTTTCGTCTTTCATCAAAGGTATTTTGGGTCCGTCAGGGTTTCGTCTTTTGTCTCTCGTCATTACGCAGAAAATGTTTCGCCTAACAACTTTAGGTATCATTAAAAGTCATTCAATTCTCCTCAATTCTATTGGATTAATTCGCGGAATGAAAGTTAGATCATCCGTGAAAAAATTATGTGATGGTTGTTATACCGTTAAGAGACGTGGAACTGTTTTTGTGCTTTGTAAAAAGAATAAGAAACATAAGCAGAGGCAAGGTTAATTATATGTAAAAATTATTGGTTTTTTTTTCAAGGTGATAAACTAAATGGCATAATTGAAAGCTAAATAGTATTGAATAACGAATATGGTATTGAATAACGAATATGTTTAATTGATCCAATTCCTTTCTTTGTGAACCTTTAGTTAGATTAATTATTCTTGAATCTATTACTTTAAGTAAAACCAGATGTCTTTCTGTCTACTAAAAATAATCCGAACCTTCCATCAGTTTCTGCAAGCGTCAGTTAAAATCAGATCATTAACATTAATTATAAGCTAAATGAGAGGAGACGATGAAAACGATATCTAAATATGAAATTGTTTTCGAATTCAATTTAGGAAATTTTCATTAATCATATTTTCTGTCTATAGAAAGTGCGACTAGTAAACTTGACTAGTTTTAGCAAAATCGATCCCAATTGAATAAAAACTCAAAATTCGCAAAAAAAAACTTACAACAGAAGTTTACTAATCGAAGTTTTGTGGATTATATATTTGTTAGTTGCAACTTTTCACACTTCTAATGTAATTGCATTTATATTTTGGTACTATACAAAAAAGTATTATGTCCATTTTCAAGTTCATTTGCGCCTTCTTTGTCTTCGACATTTATGAACTCTTGACTAAAATTCTCTAGTTCTATAGATTTTCTTTTGCTTTTCACGAAAATCATATATATTCGGTTTTTTTATGCTTCCCCCATCTTCATTTAAACGAGTTAATAAATGAATTGGCTGGGTTTATTAAATAACATGATCAGTACTTTAAAATGTCGTATCGACGCGAGTCAGAATCATAGTCAATTTTTTTTATACGGTAACTCAAGCTTTAGCTGTCAACCCGATCCTTTAGTAAAAACCATAAAATTTTCGGTACTATCGCAATAATAGTCTACATTGGAATACACCACTCCCAAAAACTGCAGCAAGTACGGACTTTCATTTACATTATCTCACGTGATCGTATATAAATCTAGACTGATTAACGATTAACGTCAACAAAGATGCAATATCACTCTTCTGTAAACAATGACTATACTTTATTCACATTGCAGCCTTCCTTACGACGCGTAATAAACCGTCATAGCAAGGACTCTCTACTTAGAATCGTAAAAAAATGGCTTGAAATACCGCAGCTTGCTCCTAAATATAAATCAAATTCTAAGGAAGGTGAAGAATATCAACAAATTAAAGGATTATGGCAAATTTATGAAAATATATCCGGTAACAAGAAAAAAATCGTTGATAAAATATATCTTGATGATTGGGTATATCAAGTTTATATTAGTTAATATTAGTTTGTTGAATTTTACGTGCATTAATTAAAATTTTAATAATTCTCACAGAAAAATGGATTAACATATTTACAAGTCGCGCAACTTGATATGAAATGTGTGCAAAATTTGTTAACATTTAGTTTATTTTCAAAATTTAATATCCATTAAATTTAATTTAATTCTCGTTTAATACAAGATATCCATGATCGTCCTAACCTTAAACAATGGAATGCTTTAAAACTTTGTTGGGATGGTACTGTTATGTTTAATAATTATTCATTATGATATTTATTAACAAGCATAAAAATATTAATCTTATTGTGGTTAAGGTGACCTACGGAAGGAATTTCATAATAAAGAAATACTTCGTTCGACATTATCAAAGCATCTTTCACTATTTTTTGCAAATGTAAGTTGTGTATATTAATTGATGTCAAATAGTTTATAAATAATTGTTAATATTATTATATACAAATGTTGGTGTTTAGCATCTTTACGTCGAAGGTTATGATAAAAATTGGTGGCTGCGCATTAGCATTCATGATAGCGTCTCGCAAAATTCCCTCCCAATCAGCACAAATATCATTTACTTGATATACTTTACTAACTCAGAACATTTATTATGCAGCAATATTAAACGTGAACATAAAGAATTTATATTGCAGGTATGTAAGCATTAAGATGTTGCAAATGTGCAATTCTGATACGACGCTGTGGATGAATTTTGTTCTTTCAAAAATTTAGGGTTTGTTGAAAACTTTTGCTTGTCAGCAAATTGAAGAATGTAATTTGAAGGGGAAATACGTGAATTCTTTAGAACAATTGTTGTTACATCAACAATCTCAAGGAATATACAGTCGATATCGATTAAATCAGGTTGATGATAGTCCATTAGAACATGCTTCAAACATACCCAAAACAAATGGTATAAGTTTATTATACGATTCATAAACCTCATCGTGAATTATAGAATGACGATTTATTGTTTTTTATTAATATGTTGTAACTCAAATGGAATCGAAAGATAATGTGGTAGACGAAAATTTTGGGCCTAATGAACAACCATCTCTTGATGTTGTAGAGATCAAGGTAAAGACAATCTTAAATATTATTGTTTCTTGGCTATATCACGTATATTCATTGCCATAAATTTTAGTTGACGTCCGCTGACAATCAACTTGAAGAGGAATCGATATCGACAACAGTCGTATTTGAAGGATCAAATGTGATTGAAGGAATTAAAAAGATGGTGACTTCTGGGTTGGCTGTATCCCCATTACCAAAGTTTTTATTAGAACTACATAGCAACAGTAAAAATTATATAGAAGTCATTGAGCAAGAAAATTAAAGATTTAAGCGAACGAGTGTTATAATGTTGGGTGTCAAAGTTGACTTTCGATGCTATAAATTCCTTTATCTGAAATTACTGATAATACAAATATTGACACTTGTAATGTTCCATGTATCTTTTTAAGGAGAATGTTTTATTTCTGCATTTATTAAAACTTATCGTACAAGATTTTTATGATCTAATTACAATTATTGTGTTAATTAGGACTTTTAGCAACTAGATCTTTTAATTTAGATTCTATGTCTTCTGCAGAAAGATTATCTAACACAACTTTTGTTTCTTTACCAAAATCTAATGAAAAAAGGAAATATACGCTTAGCACAAATAATTAAAGTAGCTTTGATTATATAGTTAATTACCGTATCTAGCAAAAAATCTTGCTTCTACGCCGCTTGCTTCACGGATCAAAATCGGAAAATGTGGGTTGGCTGCTTTTAACGACTTATAATTTTTGGCAATATATTCTCTATGTATGCGAGAATTGACGCAAGAATTAATAAATAAATAGTTCTAATTTTAAATTACATTCAATAAAAAAAACCGAAATTTAATTACAAACCTAATACCCTTACTTTCGGGAGAGGTTTGGCAAAAATGTACGCGAAGTTCCTTAAGACTCTTGGATAATTGATTTCTCCATGACATTGTTGGAGCAGAAGAGAACGTCTTATCAATTTGAGGATCGTTACACAATTGATAAAAAATTTTATATCGCTTTAAATTACTTTTTTAGGAAGCTGGTGTAACCTAAGGCTGCTGAGTACATTTAATCCCTCGGAGTTCGTATTTAATTTAACTGTTAAATCATGTCTGAAATTAAGCAATGCGCGGAATGTAAAGCCACAGTGGCGTGCAAATTCAGAGCGTTAAAGGCGGAAACGTGGAGGGAGTCTGAAAGTAAAGGCTTAATAAAGGTAACTTGACAGGTGCATGTTTTGTGTAATCGTTGTTATATGAACTTTTGGCAAATCCTTTACAAAAAGCTACTAAACGAGTAAGAACTATTAATGAGAAATTGTAGCAGAAGAAATAGAAGTTGCTTTGAATAAGCATAGAAGCTATGAGTAAGAAAAAGATAAACATGATTGATCTTCTTGGTACTATTAAAGTGATGGTAAAAATATTTTACGATAGAGAGCATAAAATGCAAATATTTTTTTAAGTAAGCTAAGCTTAGAAGATTTTTTGGTTAGTTTTATTTAGCGGCTTGGAAATGTAAATGTAATGAGAAAACTATAAATCATATGGAAAACGAATAGTTTTTATTTGTTATTTGTTTGTTTTGTTGAACAATAAAAATTAATAAAGTTAAATATTGTAAATTATTTAGATTTGGTAGAAATGATAAATAAAAATGTAAATATAATTGTAAATATTAGTATATTTACAATATTAAAAGTAATAACTTAGCAAAAGAAAAAAATAGTTGATGTTTATAAAAAATATATAAAATATATATTTTTTTAGTATATAGAAAATACATTTGTATTAAAAATTATTAACTGTTATAATATTTATGTTTTACATTATTTAAATACTATTATGATTTTTAGATCAATATATATAATAATTATTTTATAATAAAGTAGTTTATTAAACAGTAACTTGATTGTAAATATCTTGACAGAATCAAGTATATTATAGGTATACTTGTTAACAAACTTAGACAATCCAGATTCTAAAAAAGCAAATTGCTTTTATAAAAAATTATATTAACAAAATAAATTTGATATTTTGTAAATATACTATATATAGCTATAAGAATATATATTATTTGTTTAAATAAAAATTATTAATAAAGTTTTAAAATATTTAGTTTAGACTTAAATTTTTGAATTTTAGTATAAACAAATTTAAATTTTATTTTTTTAAAAAATATTAAAATTAGTTATTTTATATACTGCTGCATTCAAAAAATTGTAACTTAGTTACTTTACAATTCAAAATTTTATATAACTATGTTAGGTAACCTTTATAAAAAAGAGTGTTAGATTTGGCTAATAGATAATTAAAGCTTTTAGTTACTTTGATTAATAAAACAAGTAGGTTAAGTTATGTGATAGAAAATCCAAATAAATAATGGAGTTTTATAAATTTTATAGAATTTGTACTAAATATAGTATTAGTATTTTATTATAAACAATATAATGTATTAAGCCTTGTAATTTAATAAAGCAAATAAAGTATAATGCTCTTAAAAGCTATTTTAGTCTTTATTTATAATACTAAATTTGTTGCTTACAAATATAACTTTATACTTATTATTTATTAAAACTAATTAAAGCTATTTACATATATTTATTTAATATTTTTATTTTTCTTTCTTATTTATTATTTACTTTTTTGAATTCAAAATACTATTTTCAATTATAAATATAACTTATTGCACTTATTACATTTTGTACATTTTTTATATGATCAGTTACAATATTTTAGTTTTATAATACATGATTTTTTTTTAATATTAAAGTGAATATTTGTTACCTAGAATTTTATTAATATAATACAAGACATTTATATATATATATATATTTTTATATATGAATTGGCATGCAAGACATTTATATTTAATAGTTACATAAAGTATTTAATTTTTCAAATAGATATAACTCTTTACTTATTATCTAATTTAAGTAGTTTATCTGAAAGTTCTATACTAGTTGCTATATTCAGAACCTACTAGTAAATTCTTTATTTAAACATTTTAGTTTCTGTATCTATTATCTATTTATTCTGCCAACTGATCTAATTAATACTAGTACAAATATAACATGTTACAAAGTTTTTAATACAGTTTACTTATATAAAACACTTTGACTTTGTACTAAATCTACTGAAAATTTTTATATTTTATATTTATAGCTAACTTAGTACTGCTTTGGCCTAAACAAGTACTTGTAATTAATACTAACTATTAAATTGCTATACTCTTATAAAATTTATCTAAATTTTAGTATCTATTTTTTCAATATCTTTTTTATTATTTTTGATTAATATATGTATTTCTCTTATATATCTGTTATCTAATTTATTTATTTACTCTTTTAGAATGTTTTATGAGCTTTATTGATTTAACAACATTATTGAAAGTTTATATTACTTTTTTATTCAAAATTTTCAAATAAGTTTTTGTCTTTTTAGTTTTTTATTTTTTTATATTTAATAATCTTATAATAGATTTGTACTAAAGTTTTTTTTTTTTAATATTAATTATAAGACCATGCCTCTAACTTTACTGAACATTTAATTGAAATTTTATATAAAGTACAATCTGCTTTTAAAATATTATAGAAAGAATAAAAGCTCAAACTAATTTATCTGTAACTTAAACCAATTAGAGTGACCAAAGCTTACCTAAATTTAAGTATTAGTAATTATGTATAAAGAATTAGTTTGATATTTAATCTATTAGATATATTAGGAGTTTATTTTTGAACTAATAAAATTGAGTAGAAGAAAATGTAATAAAAGTGAGGCAACATTTAAAAGTATGTTATATTCAGAAGTTTAAGCTATAGATCTTGAGATACAATATAGAATTCAGATTTTATAATAAATTTGTTAATTAAGATAAAGTAAAAACTTGATAACAAGTGTTGTAACTACATTTTTGGATGACAGACTTGCAATGATGTCAATAAGTTCATTTGGTATTAGACCCATTAAAATTAAAAAAATTGAGGATAAATCTGATATATTGTAAATAGTTATACTACTCAACAGCCTGATTTGGTTATATAAATTAGTTATAGTATTTGTAGTATTAAGTGTTTTAGTATTTAAAGTATATTGTAATAAAATGTCTATAAGGCTATATAGCAATTGATTAGATGAAGTGGTTGTCTAGTAAAGGTAAGAACTGATTTGATGACATTGGTGACAAATAGGTAAGTATAAGTGATATTATTTGTATAAAATGTATGAAATAAGAAGATTATTTAATAGAATTTTGATTCTAAAGAATTTAAAAATAGAGGACTAAAAACTATGCAAGAAGTTTGAGATTTTTTAATTATTATTAATATATAGCTAAATAGCTTGTCAATTAACTTAATTAAGAATTTTGTACTATTTTTAAAAACAGTTTTATATAATTTATAATGCATAAATATATGCATGATATATTGTGTAAATACTACAATGAATAAGTAATTCTAAAGGGAAGTTTTCATTCTAATGAACTATAATTTTGTAAAAAATAATATGAATATTGTATGATTTAACAAAATTAATAAGTATATTCTATAATAAAAAGTATGATATATATATAGGAAACCGCTATTCGCACCATGGGTTTTTGCTATTCGCACTATGAATATGCTTTATGTTATTCATTTTGATTATATTACATATTATGCTTAAAATCATATCACATTAACTGTTAACAGTTTAACGTTAAGTGATTTTCTATTGCACATATATACTGTCACAGGGAGTTTTGACACAGGATAACAATTATTACCATATTTAGTAAAATTGTAAATAGTGTAAAGATAGTCAAACTGATAATAATTGTTAATCACGTAACATCTGTAAAAACTATTAAGAATGTAAATATGGAAAATACAGTAAAATTAGTTTATCATATAAAAGATAGGAAATAAGAGAAATAAGTAAATAATGGCAATTATGTAACAAGCCAAAAGTTATAAAAGACTTTTGGTTTTGCTCTTGTTGACAACAACCCTCAGGTTTCAAATATTGAATAAATAAAATTGATCTTTTTTATTAACAAAACTCTGTTCTTTATTAAGTTAACTTTACAAAGTTGCATCATTAAATAAATTAGTTGCATAAATCATTGCTTTTCCTTATTCAATAAAACCCCTGATCCATTAAACTCATGATTTACGTGACCCATGCCAGTAGAACCCTTGTATCATTAAACCTGACTCTCATTAGTTAAATAGCTTCTTGCATAATTAAAGAAATAAGTTGGTAATTAATAAAAAAAGAAATGATATAGAGAAAGCTATAAGATAAGAAGGAATTTATTTTAATTAACCAAATTGTACACCTCAGCTAAGAGAGCCTTAACTGCTTAGATATTTCTTTATGTTATGCAAGAAATCTGATTCTGGACCAACAGAATTGGATGTTGTTTGTTAATTGATATTTCTGCTAGTAACAATACATATGTACGTATGTACATACAAAGTGTCTATTTAGAAAAAATTTATATGATGGGTATATTTTGTATTTATGGTAAATGCGATTATATAGGTATTCTTAATTTCTCGTACTTGTTTTATACCATTTATTTTCTTAAAGTTACATGTACTTCTACTTAATATCTTTACTGATCTGTGGTTTGGAGACTGGTTCATGTATATATTTACAATATACCAAGCATAGATATTAGTAAGAGAAAAGTCATTATTATAGTAATTTATAAGATTATGAAATTAATTAGAATTACATTATATTAAGATCTATAATACCCATTACTAAGTGCAGGGAATTTTTGTTATTAAGAATACTTGCTTTATATATTTTTATTTACTACCACTATGGTTTCATCCCAAATTCAGCACATGCATCAGTCTTGAACAATTATTACATTATAAAGTGATTTCAATAAGTAACTAGCATACAAATAGATAACATTAAATTGTAACAGAATAATTTGCATAAACTTCAATATATTTAGGTCTAAGCATCTTTTCTAATAATTTATTTGTAACTTTCAAATACATTTAATAAAGCATAAATGAATAATCAATTTCTGCATGTCATTAAAATTTTTAGTTTATCAATCATAGTTCTCTAAACGCAAAAACTTAAATTCAAGTATTATTGCATAATTTTGCTGCTAAATTGTATAGTATTTAAAATCAATCCAGATTTAACTATTTTGATATTTAATCATTGCCTATTTTAAACTAGTGAAAATTTTTTTTATCATCTCTAGGTGAAACTGCATTATTAGGTTACCTCTTTTATATAGATCTTATACTATTTTAGGTAGTTATACTAGCATAATAACTTTTGATGTGAAACATGAAGAAGTGTTAATGCTTGTTTCAGTATTTGGACTGATATACTCGAATATTTCAAATCAATTAGGTAAAGTAAAAACTATTGTAATGAAGACATGAAGCAGTGATACAAAGTGTCAGTGTGTTAATGATACTTGTCCAAAAAAAAAAATTAGAATTAAATATATAATATAATATACATAGATATATAAAAAATCAATATTATTAAGTCAGCTATGTAGTAATGCAAGAAAGAAGTGAACAAGTGTTAATAATACTTATCTTAGAAAAATGTATATCTTAGATCTAAATATTATATTAGTAATGTAAACATTAAATATTACAATAATGATTAAGATGCAAGACATAAAGCAGCAAAGTGTTAATACTTATTCTGTAATAATAAAAAAAAAAGTTACTTATTCTGGAAAAGTGTATTTTAGATTAATATATTTGAAATATTATTAATGAAAAAATAATAATGATTGTAATAATGATTGTAATGCAAAGTAAATTGCTTTCAAAAGTTATAAAAAAAAGCTTGTAGTCCATCAAATTAAAGAAATATAATACTTATCCAAATAGAATACATCACTCTAGACTTTTAAAATTATGTCTTTAACTCCTCTATCTACTGGTTGCTTTGAAAGTCATGAAGCTCTAATCCAACATGCCCAATCTTATGCCCTTAATCATAGATATGCTATATGCATTAAAAGATCAGAACGAGATAAATTCAGTTATTTGTGCTATGATAGAGGTGGTGTCTATAGAAATTCTCTAAATCTTATAGACGAAACTCGTCAAAGGGCCACGAGTTCATACTTAATAGATTGCCCTTTTGAACTTTATTGAAAAAAGAAAAATGAGCAATGGCATTTGACAAAAAGAATGCAATTCACAACCATGAGCTATCAGAAGACATGTCAGGCCACCCATCATATTGCAGATTAAACTCGGAAGAACAACAAAAAGTTTATCAAATGTCTGAAGCAGGTATCCATCTTAGGGAAATGCTGTCAACCTTTCACCAAGACAACCCAAATCTTATGGCCATTTCAAAAACCATATATAATGCATAAGATAAGATTAGACAGGACAACCTTAAAGATCATATACCAATTCAGGCTCTTCTTGATGAGCTTAAAGAAGAAAACTTTGAGTATAATTATCAATATGATCAAAATAATCATTTAACACACCTCTTTTTTGCCCATCCTATATTAATTATACTTACCAAAGCCTATAGCTCTGTTTTTTTAATGGACTGCATATATAAAACTAATAAGTTTAGAATGCCACTTCTTCATGTTGTTAAAATGACAAGCTTTAATACTATATTCTTCTCCTGTTTCGCGTTCCTAAAGTCAGAGCAGAAGGAAGGTTATGAATGGGCACTTGTTCGTATTGCCCACATTTTTACGGACATTTCAAAACCTCAGGTCATTATGACTGACAGAGAGTTGACTCTAATGCATGCCATACACACTGTCTTTCCTGAATCACAAAATTTCTTATATATATAGCACATTGAAAAAAATGTGCTGTCTAATTGCTGTCAGTATCTTCTTACAGAAGATGAATTAAGAGAGTTTTTAAGAAGTTGGTCTGCCCTCATAAATTCTAAATCAGAAAAAGAGTTTAATGAAAAATAAGAAGAACTGGTAAGGAAATATAATAAGAAACTATTAATTACTAAATACCTACAGGATGTATGGCTGCTATTTAAGAAGCATTTTATAAGTTTTTGAACAAACTATTACTTGCATTTGGGCAATGTGACAACATTACAGGTAGAAGGATCTTATGCAATGTTGAAAAAGTATCTTCAAGTATCAACTGAAGACCTTCATGCAGTTCATGAATGAATCATTTTGGCATTGGAAAATCAACATCAAGAAATCAAAACCCAAATTTCTCAAAAAATGATTCGAACTCCTCATGCCCAAAACCAATCCTTTTATTCACAGGTGTTACTAAAGTTTCTGTATTTTCACTAAAAAAAGTGCATGAACAGTTCTTGAAAGTAACCAGCACAACATCAGAAAATTCACTGCAACCTTGTATTGGTACATTCACATCATCAATGGGTCTTTTTTTCTTACATAGAATTCAAGAACATTTTAACAATAATTAATACTTACAACTTACTGATTTTTACAAACATTGGTGACTTCAAAGACACCAATTATTTCTACCAATACCAACTGGAGTAGAAAATCCTATGCAACAGAGGTAACAAGAGTATAGTCAACAATTTAACTCTTGGCCAGCTCACCAACAAACAACAGCTCTGGATGAAATATCAAGCTTGTTCCAAGAATCTGCTATTGTCGTACAAGACCCATGGGAACAACACACAAGGGGATGCCTAGTTGGTGCAAGAAATGCACAATCATCTATCTGAAGAGACTCATCCACTTTTGAGTTAGCTGAACCGAGAAGAAGAAAATGTGTATTATGTTATAGAATTGAGCACAATTATAGAACATGTTCTAATAACAATAAACAGAACTAAGAATTTAGTAAAATATAAAAAATGCATATCTTAAGGCACTATAACCCTTCATATACTGGTTCACTTCATATATCATAGCTGTTTCAATCTATGCGATATGGTTCTAAAAGATAAACTTTTAAAAAAGATTTTTAGTACACTTATTTATAATAAAAATATAAAGAAACACTGTAATATGCATTATATACGTATTCATATATGCTGCAAAATAGAATATCACTAACTTTAAATTATAAGCATAAACATGTAATGAAGACAAATATATGTAATTAAAGTCAAAATTCAAATACATATCTAATATGTAAAGTTGGAACTTGAAACATTTCTTTTGATGAATTGTTATGTTCAGAGGAAGAATATGCTCAAAAACAGTAATATTCATGAGCTTCAAAGCATATAACATAAAAAAACCTCTAAATAAAATCATCATGTGATAAAAAAAAATTTTTTAATTTTATTTAACTTATTTAAGATTCTATTTCAACGTGATGATAGATTATTTATCTAGTGAATCCTATTGGCTAACTATACTTACACAGGATAGTAATTATATAATAAAATCAAAATGATCGACATAATGCATATTCATGGTGCAAATAGCAAAAACCTATAGTGTAAATAGCGGTTCCCTATATATATAAGATAAAGTATAAGTTGAATTTGAAAGATTGTGATATTTAGAGATTATAGACTATAAGTCAGTATATATATGTATAGTACAGTTTCTAAAAACAGTAATAAGAGCTAATAAGATAGCAGTGAGCTTAACTTTAAATAAGTAAGACTAGTATCTTATTTGGGTTTAGAAAATATGCAATATATTGTTGTTTAAAATTTGAACCTATCTGATACCTATAGAGCATTGTGAGATATCTAAGTTGATGACAGAGCCATTTGTATAAAAATGAAGTTCTGATAATTATGCATTGTAATTAGTGATTTGTTGGAAGTTGTCTGTTAAAGTACTAGGTTCAAATATAGTTGAAATTAAGTATATTGTTTTGTACCAAAGTCTTATACAATACTAATTTTAATATTTCTTTATATATATATAACATTGTACTTTATATAGATGTCTTAAGCTTTTAATATAAAGTAAAATCTAATTTGGTATATCTATAATTACAAATATATAAATTCACCTAATTAACTAGAAACAATTATTGTAATATAGTTATAATTTCTAAAATTTATTATCTATAAGATTTGAATATTAAATCTGCTATTTAAGAATTAATAATTTGTTTACTTTATTAAATTGCTACATCTTTTATATATATAATTATTTTATTATATTTATATTATAGTTAATAGTTTAAAAAAAGATATACAGTAGATCTTATAATTTAGTAGTTAAACTTCTATATCTTTACAGTTTTAGATTAACAGTTCAAGTTTAGCTAAAAACAAAATCTAAAAGATTTAGCTTTTGTAAACTAAAAAAGAACTAGTAATTAAATATAAGACCTTGTAAACAAATACTAAATATAGTATATAACTTAAATAAGAATTCTCAAAAAAAGACTAACTTTATAAAGCATAAGCACTATATATAACAATAGCATTATAGAAGATTCTGTTATATAAAAGATTATACAATTAAGTCTTTTGAAAATAATGCAATACTTTACATCAGCCTTTACCTACTTCCAACTATCAATTATACATAATGCACAGGATGCATATATAACTCAAATAGAATTCAAAATTACTGCACTTTTAACATCCTAGCTAATTCTGCAACAAAATTCCTAGAACGGAAAAAAACATAACAATACAAAAGAACTCAACCTGAATGCAAACTATTTAGATATTATTTATTCTATTGCTTCATAATTACCTATATCAATCCCATCATTACCTACTATCACACTCACTAATACACCTATATTTAACCTATTTCAAGTCAATTCTTCTTCTATTAAACTTTAGAAAATTGCTAACTTCAATAAGAGAAACACTAACTTCATATTCTATACAGATGAATCAGTTACTAATCTTACTACTGACTAATGTTTTATAAACATTGGATAAGTACAAATCCACAATAACACAATACATTACTTATACTCTTCTCATATTAAACTCTGGCCATTATCTTACAAAGCAGAACTTATGGCAATACTATCTGCTATTTGTAT